TGAGTAGCCCTTTCCAGAGACACCTGTTGATGACTCGATTAAAGAAGGGGTGACTACTGTAATAAACACAGAGATGACAATAGTACTGCAACATATGTGATGTTTGCATTACATCACCTGAGTTACAAAAGCAACTTAAGAGTATAGATGTTGACGCATGATTTTTCATTTCAAAGAATTGTATGATAGTAATCATGTGTGGAAGGATATGAGACTTTCAAACAACTATACCGATACAAAGTGACAAAAGAATCTTCAGTCAATCCTCATGTACTGAAGATGATTGACATGAAAAGTGTCTCAACTGAGTTCAATTATTAACTATGAACTAAATATTGACTTAGCTCTGCAATCTCTGTCATAGAGTTATTTATACTAATTATGAATTATGATATGAATAAACTCGAATGCATACTCATTAAGTTGCTTAACATGCTTAGGACTGTTAAGCCCTTTATCAAAGTTGGTAATGGGCAAACCATTGATTCCTCTAAGAGTGTTAAGAAGAAATCTAAAGGGGTTTTGAAAAAGTACCCAATATGGTTAAGACAGTCTAAGCGAAGGAAAATATCAAATCTAATGACCTTTGGTTTCATTATAGAATGAAATGTCATTTGAAGGAATGTTGCAAGGCTTACGTTTATTTCATTAGCTTCTCAGGTATTAGATACCAGAAGTGGATATCATATTTATACAAATATGGAAAAACTAAATAGAAGTAGACCACTGCGAAAGGGAGAAGTTGACCTACACGTTGAAGATGAGCAAAGATTGCTGCATTGCCTGTAGGAGTATACTTCTTATCGTTGCCTGTTGACTTAGTAATGGAATTAGAGAAATGTTGCTTTGTACCCACCATAACTAAAACATTAAAATGAATTTCATGTTCAAACATGAACCATTTTAATGTTAAGGACAATTGTTGTTCTTGCATATGTTGATTAAAATCTTAATAGTTATGGTAAGTTACAAAATAACATTTATATTCTAAATACTAAGGATTCTATAATGAGTATAGAAATTATAAAGTATAAATGCGATAATCTAATTTTTACCTAAATCTGGCATGGCGGACTTTGTCATGTAGATGAAATGCAATTCCAAAGTTACATAGAGATGTATACTTGAGACTAATTGATTTTGACAAGTACGAATTATGCATGTCTGGCAGAATGACCAAATCCTCTTTTACTTGAAAAGAAGAAAGGTCTGCATAATTACTGGTCTAATGCATACTGATGCATATGGACTCATGTCAATTGATGTCAGGTAATGCTTCTCTTATTTCATCATTTATCATGTATACTTGATGAAATTAAAGCATGGAGTTCTTGAAAGGTTCAAAAGATTTAAGTTAGAAGTAAAGAAACAATAGGTAAAGATACTCTTACATTAAGATCCGATCGAAGTGAGAGTATCTTAAAGATAAAATCTAGATTATCTAAGAGAGAATGAGATTCTCTTGCAGTGGACTCCTCCATATACGCTACAGCATAGTGGTGTATCTAAAAGGGGGAATCGTTAACTATTAAATATAATGCGATTAATAACAAGCTATGCAAATCTTCCAAAATTATTTTGGGGTCATGCATTGATTGTAGTGTGCAACACACTAAATCATGTCTCATCTAAATTGGTTAACTGAACTCCATACGAGTTATGGAAAGGCAATAGTCTCAATTTATCTTATATGAAAGCTTGGGGCCATGACGTTTATTTGAAGCGCCTTGAATCGGATAAGTTTGACACTAAATCTGATAAATACGTATTTGTGGGGATATTCAAAACAGACATTTGAATATTAATTCTATTATCATGAAGAAAGTCTTCGTCTCACGACATATCGTCTTCTTAGAGAAAATATTTACTCTAGGGGAGGACAATGGGAGCAAAATAGAATTTGAAAGAGTTCAAGAATCCACATATATAGTTAACCAAGTGGATAAATCCGAGTTTGATCCCATATCTGATATGGGACATACTCTTGATCAGGAAGTAAAGACTCCTAAGGACATGTCAGCTCTATGTGAATCTAGTAGAATCATTCGACCTTCAAGAAGGTGCGAATCCATGATTACTAATCAAGTATTACTGATCCAGGACAATGAACCTGCTAGTTGCACCAAAATAAAGTCATGTGTTGACTTAAATCGACGTATGTGAACAAGGTTTGAACCTTGGTCAAGCCTCCTGATGGAATAAAACTCATAAATTTTTGCAAATAGTTTACAAGGAAAAGGTCGATATGAATGGGAATATTCATATATACAAAGCAAGGCTATAGCAAAGGTTAAGTGTTGACCTTGGTGAAACCTTTCTCCTGTAGCCTTGCTAAAGTCCATTCGGATTTTGCTTGCAACAATTGCATACCGTGACTATAGGTTAAGAGAAGTCTCTTGGAGCTGAAATCTTTGATTTGATGAAAGAGTCAAAATGTTTGATTTTATCAAATTTGAAAACGAATTGTGTTGTTTACAAGAAGATAGTGAGAGCATTGTCGTATTCCTAATATTATAGAAAACGACATCCCCATGCTTCAATCATTGAAATAATGGTTGTTAAAGGATTTATTCATGAATGATATGGGAGAAGCAACTTGATCTATAGAGATAGATCTAGAAAATTGCCTAACTCATCCCAATTTACATAGATGAAATCTTGAGAAGATTTCATATGGAGAAATTGGTTTACTCTTAAGCGGAATGTTGGAAAGGTTCCAAACATGAAGCAACCGTTGACTCAATAGTAGAAACCTGATATATTATTACTTCAGAAGTAGCAAAGAGTTGCAATATGGATCATGGTGTTCATAAATGAACTTGGAGCAGTTTCTGATATTGTTGATCACATGTCATTGTATTGTGATAACAATAGAGTCATCGTGAAAGCGAAGGAACTAAGGTCTCATCAATAATCCAAACATGTATTAAGGAGGTATAATCTCATCAGATAGATAATACATAGAAATGACGTAAAGAGAAGAACAATACCCTTGTAATTTCACTATTATAAAATTTGATTTGTGTGTAATACTATTTTAATGAAAAATATGTAATTGAAAAGAAGAAAGAGAAAAATGTATTTTTGGAAAAATATTTTTGAATTTACTTGTAATTTCAAAATGGAATAAGAAGGTTTCATAGACAAAATTAATTGAACCGTGTATACGGCTCGATACACAGCACGATTCACAACCCCCTCATAGTGAGGGTCCCGTGAAAATAAAAAAGGGCGTCTCGCTCCTGCACATGTGAGGGGACAGTAAAAAGAGCAGTACATGCAGCTCAACCCAAATTAATTACTGCCACCGACCATAAAACTTGCCATCTGGAAAGAGTATCTATACGGCTAAAGATACCTATGCCGTGTGTCCTAACATGACATCACCACCACCTCCAACAAACGTGACGCCACCGAACGCTTATACTCCATTCTCCCACCCAACCACGCACCCCCAAAAATCATCAATACACACTCCATAAATACCACACTCAAAATTCCCTCACAGAAATCAAGAAAGGTGAATTTTATATAAATATTGCAATGGCACAACAAGGGAGTGCAATGGTGATGGCTGTACTGATAATTGTGACAACTTTGGCTGCTGCAATTGCTCAAGAAGAGTTCAACATGGCAGCACTGGCGCCTGATAATGGTGGTGGTGGATTTGAGATTGGCCCAGAGGCACCAGGGCCGGAACCTGAGAGTGGTGGTGGATACTCACTGCCGGTTTCCGTGGGGGTTGTGGGGTTTTCGGTGGTTTCATCTATTTTAGCGATCATAAAGAACTACATGCATATATCCATGGAGTTCAACTCTAATGATTCCACTGATGAGATCTGGGAAGCAGGGTGGAGCTCGCTCACAATGATTACTATTTGTGTTTTCCTTTTATTTATTATGCATGAATAAGAGGGAGCTTTCAACTTGCTTTTCATAGTTTTGCTTTTGTTCACTCACAAAGTGATTGTTTGTTTATGTGTTCTTATCCATCTAAAATTTGTTGACACATTACACATACAATTTTACATGATAAACTACGTTATTTACAATTTTGACACGTCAATAAATTATATATTATTTATAGAGAAATGCTAGATGTATGCCCTTGCGTGACATTTGAGGTAATGAGGTGTAAAAAAAATGAGTGTGGTAAATTATTATTATTATTTTTTTTCTAGAACGGTCAAATTTGATGTACATAAAAATGCACACCAAGCAGAACTATTATTCATATGTTTGGTTTTCAATTATTGAAGAAAATTGCTATTTGTACAACATTTATTTGACAGCTTTTTTCACAATTGAATCACAAAGGTGGGATCGTGGATCCCATCCGCTTGCATGTGTGTGTACTGTAAAAAAAAGTTGTTAATAATTAATGTACCCGTAGCATCTTTCATTATTTAATATACATGTCAATTGAATAGTGACATTATTCATACTATTGGAGTTTTAGAAATGGTTCCTCAAATCTATAGTGAGATGTCATAATTTTACTGGTGTGACAGGCGAGAAGACAGTCAAGTCACGACAAAGCATCTAAAGGAATATAAAAATGTAAATGCACTTATAATTGCTATATCTTGTCATTGGAATAGTTAAAGTGGCTCATATCGATAGTATATTTGTTCTATTGTGTCTCGCACTTACGAGAGTACTCTTGTTAAAGAATCAATGTTAGAACGAAAATAGCAAAATAATAGTGAGACAGAGGTTTAGTAAGTGCATCCTTTAACGGGTCTGTAATTGAGATGTATCCTTAATAGTGCTTTGGCAACTTGATCACAAACAAGTGAACATCAAGAAGTATTTATGCAGGAATGAAACATATAAAATTATTATTATTATTATTATTATTATTATTATTATTATTATTATTTTGTAAAATTTTTAGTTGTTTCATCAAGAAATGATCGTTGAGAAAGATTTCAACTGCAAGAATGATAAAAGAGAAAATAATCCAAGCATAGGATTTGAATTTGGTACATACTTCATTGCTTATAAAATTATTATGGTTGGTAGCTATGTAAAACATATCTATTCTAGGGAGTAGCACTCTATCCATGCATATTCTACTCAAGATCTTCCCTTGGCTCTAACTTAATCTGGCAATTTCACCTGCACAAGAGAAACATCTTAATCAGCCTTTATTTTGTATTGTTGAAAAAATCACTCCATTTAAAACATTAAGATGTTAGAGAGTCAATATGGTGCACATTTTTCATCAAATATCTAATACATGTGCACAATTTTCATAAAGAGACAGCGTATATTCAAGACTTGAAGTCAAGATGTTTATTATCTCATAACACGTTAAATCACCTTTTCATCTAAAATTTTCAGATGTAGAGAAAAGGACGTACGTTTATTTTAAGTTTAGTCTTCAACAGATGATACAAAAGAGAGGGACAGACAAAATCACTAACTAAACTGGACGGTTCGAGAGAGAGAGGATTAAGGGAGAAAGTTTACATGGTTCAAAGTTGGCAGTGCACTTATCAGGAAGCTGCATGGCCATGTTTTTATCAACACCAGTAATTGAAGGACCACTGACAAGACCACAAAGACAAGGCTGGCCTAGAATTCTGATGGCTGCACAGCAAGCATCACTTGGTGGGATTCGGCTAAAGGGAGCAACTGCTGGCCTGCATGGTATAAGCTGAACTAAGGCTGAGAAAAATGTGCTTCCACAAGGATGTCCATTGCTTCCCTGCACTAAAACACCTGCAGACATGAAAATGATAACGAAAACAAAAGTCGAAAGCTTCATGGGTTTAAGTGAAAATCGACTTATTTCTGTTTAAGTGATTATGCTAGTTTCAAGATAGCCATGCATCTTAATGAGTGAGATCTAAATAAGAAGGGGGTGGAAAGGAAAATGATGTTTTGTGCTTCTGCCCTAACTCCATTCACACTTGATTCATGTCAGTGCTTGTTAGACAACTCAGCCATTTATTGAGCATGAAAATTTATAAGCTTGCCAAATCAACTTATATCACTTACATTTAGGACATATTTAGTATGAGGATTACATAGCACTTTGTATTATAAAGAATGAAAATAAGTTAAAATCTTATTCAATACTGCATGTTGACCTCTAAAAATGGCTCTTCCACGTGGCCAACTTGTAGCTACTCCACGTATTCCTCCCTACGAAATGAACAAACTGTCAGGCGCACACGGCCGGAACCCACAGTGGTGGCGGCCGTATACACTCCGACGGTCAAGTCAGGTTTGGGTGGTCGGAACAGTGCCCAGGGACTACACAAATCAATCAGTCAATAAAGGGGGAGGAGAATATATAAACTTGTTATGGAGTGCTATCTATTGAGAGTTTCATTACCTTTGCCTCTGGCCAATCTTTGGGTATTTATAGGTGGTATGAACCGTGGGATGTGGAACACGTGTATACATCTGACGGTATGAAGCGTCTGCTCATAGGCGTCAATCAGCCGCGCTTGTAGAGTGGGCGGACAGTTTGTTTCCCCCTAGTTGAATTGACATAAAGTTGATAAGTCACATCAAATAGCTTTATGGGGGACGTCACATCAATTTAAACCTTATATGCAGAGCAAATCTTAAATTGGCAGCGAATCTTCTAACGGGGGTTCAAGCCACTTGAACCCGACCTCGGAGACGGGACACTTCGAAAGATCAGTGGCAGGAATCGATGTATCACTTCGGAGAGGCTTCGGGGGGTCGGAGTGGTTCCGAGGCTCATAAAAAGAAAATCTGTTGACCTCCAAAAATGGCTCCAACAGGCACCCTCGCTTCGTCCCCTCGAAACCTTAACTTGTGAATTGAATTCATATTATAGAGAAATGATGTGAAATGGGCTAAGGCGGGTTAATAGGCCTAAGTTCGAGCCCAGTACGAGGTGAGCAAAGTGATAGGCACTTCGGCTAGGCGCACAACACTAATGGCCCTAGCTCGGGTCCAATAAGGTGGCCCAATATGGAGTGATAATTCATAGGCGTAACAGTAGTCCCCCAAGTCCGAGTCGTGTTATTTATATGCGGGTCGGATTTGAAAACTAAACTCTCAAGTAGGCGAGGTCCTACAGATTGCCTCAAAAAGATGGGTAGCTCCAATAAGCGAGGGCTTATGAATTGCCTCAGAAAATGTGTCAGAATAAGCGAGGCTCATAAAATGAGGCGTAACAGTGGTCCCCCAAACCTGAGAATGAATATTTATATTATACGTGGATTTGTTTTCCTGACCGGATCGCGGCATGGGGGTAGCTGAAGCTTTGTAGAGCATTGGAAGAACGCGGAGCGTTATAGCGTTATAGAAATTTTTTGGGACTCGTCTTCACCGAAGAGGGAGACGGCTCCAGCTTTGCAAAGCATGGGAAGGGCGCAGCGACCGAAGCGATAGCAAACGGGGCGCTTGCATCGTGTGCGTCCAGGCTTTGTTAAGTTGGGGGAGATGGCTAGAACTTTGTAAAGCAATGGTGGGAACGCAGCGCCCGAAGTGATTAGCGACCGGGGCCTTCGCATCGGTTGTGACTAAGCTTTGTAAAGTTGGGGGAGGAGATCATCCGAGGCGACCCAGAAGTCCAATGATTTGACAACTGTTGCATGTTTCCAAGGTGACAGTTGGGTACCACGCCCATTCCCCTAGAAGGCTGCCGCGGCCAGTAATTATTATCGACGGCTGTTGGTAACCGAGGCGACGCGTTTCAATTTAGCGTGGAAGCCACAGCGACATCTTGGGCGTAGATCAAATCTGGCGTTTCATTTCAACGGCTGGGATCGAGAATACAACGGACGGTTTAGATTGATCGTATTTGAATTCAAAGGTGGAGATTGGATTTGTCTTTCCTATAAAAGGTGAACTTTGGGGGCTTATCAGAGTTTCTACCTTTACCACGAAAAAACAAAATTTTTCTCCCAAATTTTTGGCGATTCCCGGCGTTCTACAGGCAACTCCGGCGAGAGAGAGAGCGATATTTCCGGCGATCTTGCACCATTTCAGGCTAGGAAACACTTTCAAACCCGTAAGTTTCAGTACCCATTTAGACTAAGAATTTCTTAACGAATGGCCTCGGAAGGGAGTTCTGGTATGGGTAGGAGTTTAGAGATTGTGAGGGTGGACGAGCCCATTGTGGCGACCTCCTCAGAAAAGCTGGGGCCATAATGGGAGTGGAAAACATGTGGAAGCGACCAGATAGCCCTCCGGATACTTCTGTGCACTGGGGGGCATCGGACTACCCATCAAAGTTGAGGGAGGCCGACCTTGGTAGACTTAGGACGGAATATAGGATCCCGGACAGTGTGGACCTGATTCTCCCAGGGCCAGAAGAGAGAGCTTGTTACCCAAGGCCGGGCTGCGTGGCCATTAGCGAGGCGATCCTTAGGGCCGGACTTAGGCTGCCTATTCACCCGTTCTTTAGGTTGGTGCTTAGGTCTTATGGGCTAGCCCCGACGCAGCTCAATCCGAACTCCTGGAGCCAGATGGTGGGCTCCTGGATGTTGTGGAAAGAGGCGTCGTTAGGAGTGGAGATGCCCCTTTCCGTTTTCCAAACTCTTTACATACCCAAGGTTACTGCCGGGGGAGATAAGACCCGGGGCTGGTACTACCTGACGTCATGGGGTTCCCACACTCCATTTGTGATCGATCTGCCGAGCTCCATCAAGGAATGGAAGAGCTCTTGGTGCTGGGCAGCGGGGCGATGGGACACAATGGAGGGGGACCCCCTGGCGCCTCTTACAGTCCCGGCGAAGTTTTCAACACTTAGTGAGTGTAGTAGTTGATATTTTA